CTCAGCCTCCTAAGTAGCTGGGATTACAGGCACCCACCACCACGCCCGGCTACTTTTCATATTTTTAGTAGAGACGGAGTTTTGCCATGTTGACCAAGCTGGTCCCGAACTCCTGACGTCGTGATCCGCCCATCTTGGCCTCCCAAAGTGCTGGGATTGCAGATGTGATCCACTGCGCTCGGTGAGTGAAAGATAATTTTGTGAAGAGTGATGGTGGAGGTGGGAGGGGGGTGGGTGGTTCCAGAATGATTCAAGGGCATGACATTGATTACGCATTTTGTGTCTTTTATTATTACATTGCACTACATAATAAAATAATTCTGCAACTGACCGTCACGTAGAGTCACTGGGAGCCCTGAGCTTGTTTTCCTGACTAGACAGTCCCATATGGGGGTGACGGGAGACAGTGACAGAGCATCCGGCAATGGATTCTCATAAGGAGCACACAGCCTGGATCACTTGCATGCACAGTTCACAGTAGCATTTGTGCTCCTGTGAGAATCAAATGCTGCTGCTGATCTGACGTGAGGTGGAGTTCAGGTGCTGATGAGAGCAGTGGGGAGCGGCTGTCAGTACAGAGGCAGCTTTGCTTTCTTACCTGTCACTCACCTCCTGCTGTGCGGGTGGGGTCCTAACATGTACGATGACCTAGAGGTCAGAGAGCCCTGCTTGGGGGAAATCTGCAGACCCCTGCTAGCTTCTTACACACTAAAAGTACCACTGCTGGAGTCCTTCCAAGGCTGCCTGTAAGTGGAAACTATTCACAGATGTTGACACCAGCAATATCGCAAACATAGAATCCAGCAATCTCATTTGCACCCAACAAAGATGAATTCTGATGCATAGAACAAGTCATGCAACAAATGAAAAAAAAAATCATTTACTTTTTCTCTAAACCAAGGTTCACCTGGCCCAAGCCTCCAGCACATGAGCTGGTGATGAATCCATTTCTAGCATCGACTATGTAGAATCCAGCTTTCTCAGCTGCACACAATGAGGATGAATTCTGATGCATAAAGCAAGCATGCGACAAGTGAGAAACTTCTTTACTTCTTCTTTAAATCAAGGTTCACCTGGCCCAAGCCTCCAGGAGACGGGCTGGTGATGCATCCCTTCCCAGCGTTGACTGTGCATCTTGCCCACTTTTGGCTCGATGAACTCCTACTCCTGTGGCTTTCCATCCACCCTGGGTATCTCGGGAGGCCCCCGTCCAAGCCCATGGGCCTCAGTGAGCTCCGTGGTTCTGCTGCCTTTCCAAGAGAATCAAGAGGATTTGTCAATGACACACCCCTCTCTGTTTTTCCATCTTCTTGTGGAGAGCGTGCCATGGGTATTCAACAAAGCCTCCAGGAGTGGAGTCTCCAGCTCTTTTCTGGAAGCTTCTGAGTGAACCCAGAGAGGTTAAAAAAAAAAAATCTGGGCTGGGCGCGGTGGCTCATGCCTGTAATCCCAGCCCTTTGGGAGGCCAGACAGGTGGATTAAAAGGTCAGGAGATGGAGACCATCCTGGCCAACACGGTAAAACCCTGGCTGTACTAAAATAGAAAAAATTTGCTGGGCATGGTGGTGGCCATCTGTAGTCGCAGCTACTCAGGGGGCTGAGGCAAGGGAGTCGCTTGAACCTGGGAGGCGGAGGTTGCAGTGAGCCGAGATTGCGCTACTGCACTCCTTCCTGGAGACAGAGCAAGACTCCATCTCAAAAAAAATCAAGATCCTCTGCAACTGAGCTCCTCTCAGCAATGACCCCAGGGACATGACAAATGTGGATGTCCTTAGCCAGCCACATAAACCTCCAGGGGGCCCAGGGAAGCCGCAGCCAGGCCAACCTCCTGAAAGGTAGGAAAAAAACATACAAGGAAGAAAGCACCACATGTGATTTCAAGCCACCCTCTTGTAACAAATGGATGCCCATTATCATCTCCTGGACAGCACAGGCGGGGAAATTCCAGGGAGCGCTGTGACTGGGATGCAGTCTTCTTCGTATTTCTGTGACTATGTTCTCACACTGCAAGAGGTGTGTTTTCTAAGGCAGGACATTTCACGGAATAATTATTGAGCTTGCTTCCTTTGAGACTACGACTTCCAGGAGATCAAGAATCTGGTTTATTATTGTATTTTTCCTGCAACTAAAGTAGGTGAGGTGCAGAGCAGGTGGCTATGGCAGGTTAAGTAATGCACACCCAAGATGTCTGTGGGGAGCCAGCTGCACACCCCACCCATGGGTACCCTGAGGTGAGTGTGGACAAAGGAATGACAAAAAGACAGATTCAGATTGAAAGTGGGGTCAGGGGACATCACTCATAATGGCGGTGGTGAAGGCCCCGAGTTTAGGTCACTCTGCTCCTGGGAACATGCTAGCAATAGAGAGGCCGTCTTCCCCAGAGGCCTCCTGCGGCCTTCCACAGTTTATTGTTCCTGATTTCTTTCATACATTCCTTATAACCAGTTTATGCAGGCACACCGTAAACCCTTCCTCCACTGCTGCCTCCCCAACAATGTCCAGGTGCACATGATTCATGTGGGAAGAGACTAATGGCCCCAAAGATGTCCACATCCTAATCCCCACGTGGGAGACAGAATAATGGCCCCAAAGATGCCCACGTCTGAATCCCCATGTGGGAGACAGAATAATGACCCCAAAGATGTCCACGTCCTAATCCCCATGTAGGAGACAGAATAATGACCCCAAAGATGTCCACGTCCTAATCCCCATGTGGGAGACAGAATAATGACCCCAAAGATGTCCACGTCCTAATCCCCATGTGGGAGACAGAATAATGGCCCCAAAGATGTCCACGTCCTAATCCCATGTGGGAGACACAATTGTAGACCCAAAGTTGTTCATATGCTATTCCCCATGTGCTCCAATCCCATTAATGTTATAGAAAAAGACAAAACACATCAAGACAAAAAGAGAAAAACATTAAATGGAAGGTGTCATATCTTAGCAGCTGGACACAGACAAGCATTACAACTTTCGTAGAAAGAATAATGCTCTCTCCCTCCTTACACGTGTGTCCATATCCTAATGACAATAGTGCCTTAGATAGCAAAAGGGGTTTGCAGAATTGAGTAAGAATCTTTAATGGTCTATGTGGGTAACTGAGTAATTACATGGATAATCACAAGGCCATTTTGGTGACTTTTTTTCTCTGCCATGTAAAGTATCAATAATTTGATAAATATTTCATGTATTTGAAAGGAATGTGCTTTGTCTATGAGCTCACTGCTTGACTTACGTCTGTTCTATCCACCGTATTAATTTCATGATTCATTTCCTCTCTAAATTTCCATTTTATCACCTGCTCTGAACATGATGAGTTACATTCTACTAGCACACATGTGTTCTTGGTGCATTTCTGAGGGCTTTGGTTCTATGTATTTATACTTAGTTTGGAGATGTCAGTAACTGTACGTGTTCAGTGTGGAGGGGTCCGTGTAACTTTTATAAAAAAAAAAAAATGACTCTAGCGGGGATCAGAGTGATGTGTAAAATCAGAAGATAAACAGTATTGACCTCCTAGAGCCCAAATAGTGACTCTTGGGGGAGTGTGGGCATAATCCTGTAAGACAACATTTGGGAAAACACCAGCCCTTAGCATGTGCATAATACACTTTAGTCAAAGTGCCAGTCAACGTGTCAATCGCATATAACACGTTATCACATTTACCATTATTTGAAAGTCACATGCTAATATGGGTGACACTCCTCCAGAGCTATGGGTGAAGTGAAGCAGTGACTACAAATAGCAGGTGTGTGCAGTCACCGCCACAGCGATCCTGTTCTGCTCAAACGCGTCTCTCGCATGGAAGTTAGAGTTCCCGCTTGCATCCAAATTAGCCTCTGGGATGCAGCAATTTCACCAGGACTCACCGTTGTTAACCAGCACATGGAGAGGAATCTTCTTCATCTTGAACTTCTGGACAAACTGCCAGATGGACGCCATCGAAGCCAGGTCACAGTACAAAAATTCCACTGGAAGAAGACACACACACACACAAAAAGAATATGTGGTTATCTTCGAACCTATTGCAGAGATTAACAAAATTTCTAAACAGGTCAACTTCAATCTGACCTAGGAAGTGACACTTTTTCTTCTTTTCTTGTTGAGACAGACTCTTGCTCGGTCTCCCAGGCTGCAGTGCAGTGGCATAATCTCTGCCTCCCGGGTTCCAGCGATTCTCCTGCCTCAGCCTCCTGGGTAGGCAGGATTACAGGCACATGCTACCATGCACAGCTGATTTTTTTTTTTTTTTTCAGTAGAGATGAGGTTTCATCGTGTGGGCCAGAATGATCTCAAACGCTGGTCCTCAGGTGATCCACCCTACTCAGCCTCCCAAAATGCTGGGATTACAGGCATAAGCCACAGCATCTGGACAGGAAGTAACAGTTAACTGGACATGTCAGTCGGGTACAATGAGGACATCATACTCTAGGGACACCACCAATGAGTCACATTCTTACATAATCCCCTTCCGTTAACTGCATGTGGGGCATGTCATTCTCCTCCTTACCTTGACGTGAGCTGACATTTTGTGAGAGCGTGTTGGGGACAGAACCTGGGCACGGCCTGTCTAAGAGCTGAGAACAGCCCCTGTCCAAAAGCCAGAGTGATACTCAGAACCCCAGATCTACAGCTCCGAGGAATTGGATTCTGCCTATAACCGTGTGAACTTTGAAGAAGATCCTGAGGTCCCGAGAGGACCCCAGGCCGAGTGACACTTTGGTTGTAGCCTACTGAGACCCAGAAGAGAGAAGTCAGTTACTCTTCGGATGCACAGAAGCTGTGGGAGAGTAAGTATGAGCCCTTCCCAGGCCTCTGAGTCTGTTATTTTGTTACACAGAATATGTAACAGAAGCACAGAAGGACTCAGAAGCGAGGACTCCCTTCTTCTGCAGTAGAATATAAAAGAGGGCATTTTATATTTTGTTACATTTACGTTTCTAGAGACAGGGTCTCGCTATGTTACCCTGGCTGCTGTCGAATGCCTGAGCTCAGGTGAGCCTCCCACATCAGCCTCCCAAAGGGATGGATTGCAGGCGTGAGCTGCTGTGTCCGGCCAGAGATAACTCTTTTAGAGAGTGAAAGACGCAGGGACACCTTTGTGACATCACACAGGCAGAGAGGTAGGTTTATGTGTATTGTATCCGGCATGTCCATTCTACCCTTTAGCTCCTCTCTCAATTCCCATTTAGTCTGCATCTCTGAAAGCAATGTGTTCAATTGTGTTAAGGACGTTTAGTGGCCAGGCATGGTGGTTCAGGCCTATAATCCCAGCACTTTGGGAGGCCAAGGTGGTTGGATCACGAGGTCAGGAGTTCAAGACTAGCCTGGCCAACATGGTGAAACCCTGTGTCTACTAAAATTACAAAAATTAGCTGGGCGCAGTGGCGGGTGTCTGTAATCCACTACTCAGGAGGCTGAGGCAGGAGAATTGCTTAAACCTGGAAGGTGGAGGTTGCAGTGACCTGAGATCGTACCACTTCACTCCAGCCTGGGGGACAGATTGAGACTCTGTTGAACCATTCACAATAGCAAAGACTTGGAACCAACCCAAATGCCCATCAAGGACAGACTGGATAAATAAAATGTGGCACATGGACGTCATGGAATACTATGCAGCCGTAAAAAAGGATGAGTTCATGTCCTTTCCAGGGACATGGATGAAACTGGAAACCATCATTCTCAGCAAACTGACACAAGAACAGAAAACCAAACGCCTCATGTTCTCACACATAAGTGGGTGTTGAACAATGAGAACACATGGACACAGGGAGGGGAACATCACACACTGGGGTCTGAGGGGTGGGGTGCTAGGGGAGGGATAGCAGGGGGTGGGGAGATTGGAGAAGGAGAGCATTAGGAGAAATACCTAATGCAGATGACGGGGGGATGGATGCAGCAAACCACCATGGCACGTGTATACCTATGTAACAATCCTGCACGTTCTGCGCATGTATGTCAGAACTTAAAGTCTACTACGTGGGTTCAAGTGATTCTCCTGCCTCAGCCTCCTGAGTAGCTCGGATTACAGGTGTGCATCACCATACCTGGCCAATTTTTGTGTTTTTAGTAGAGACGGGGTTTCACCGTGTTGGCCAGGCTGGTCTCAAACTCCTGACCTCGTGATCTGCCTGCCTTGGCCTCCCAAGTGCTGGGATGACAGGCGTGAGCCCCTGCGCCTGGCCTCATCTAGCTCTTGGTAACACACTCAGATCAATCCCTGGGGTTCCAGGACCCTAGAACAGAGGTGGGCATGGGCCCGCGATCATAAGAGATGATGCTTTCTGCAGCACAGACCTCAGGCTGAGACACAGCATTTAGGTTTTGTTGTGTCTGGCTGATCTAGCGCACCTGAATTACCCTAACACCCACCAGTCAGCCCAAGGTGGCAGGCAAAGCCCAAAGTTTGGAACATATCCTTCCACCTCCTCTGGGAAGGAGTGTTTGATGATAATATAAGAGCATCTTTCTCATGGAGAATGAAGCCTGTCTGTGCCAGCTCACCAGCCATCAAGAGAAAGGAAATGGTACTTTCAATATTTTCCTTAGAGAAATACGGCTGCGGGGCTGGGGACTGCGGGTACACTGGCTTCCCCCTGTCATCCCAGCACTTGGGAGGCCGAGGCAGGTGGATCACTTGAGGTCAGGAACTTGACACCAGCCTGCCCAACATGGTGAAAGCCGGTGTCTGCTAAATATGCAAAAATTAGCCAGGCATGGTGGCAGCCACTTGAAATCCCAGCTACTTGGGGGGCTGAGGCAGGAGAATCGCTTGAACCTGGGAGGCAGAGGTTGCAGTGACCTGAGATCACGCCACTGCACGCCAGCCTGGGTGACACAGCCAGACTCTGTCTCAAAAATACAAGTAAAAAAGTAAAACACCGGATGGAATGATGGTCTGCATGCTCCTGAATTGGAGTCCCTTGCAGTGGAGTGTACAGATGGCTGCTGCCCTGCGAACCATTACTGCAAACTGTCTGTGATGAGCCATGCTCAGAAATTGCAAGTCAATGTTTAGAAACTTAAGAAAAAATAATGACAGTCACGTAGGCTGTGCTCCGTCCAATGGCTTAAAAAAGACACATTGGGAGCTTCTAGTTTGGATGTTTCTTAAATTTCTTAAAAGCATTTTTTTTTTTTTTTTTTTCTAATTCATTTTTATTGTATCTACGGCAGTTATCAACCTCCTGCAGATTTGGGGAGGCAGTTTTGCCACAGTTTGGAAGCGCTGCTTCTGAGCACACTGCCGTCTGGATAGGAATTCCCGATACTCCACTGTAATTTTCCCCAGAAATACTTGTGGGGATGTGAGAAACAGAAAAACCCTGAGCGACTGGGCATGGTGGCTCACGCCTATAATGCCAGCACTTAGGGAGGTCGAGGATGGTAGATCACGAAGTCAGGAGTTCAAGACCAGCCTGGCAAGATGGTGAAACCCCTTCTCTACTAAAAATACAAAAACTAGCTAGGTGTGGTGGTGGGTGCCTGTAATCCCAGCTACTCAGGAGACTGAGGAAGGAGAATCCAAGGCCATGTTATGGCGCTGTTCACAATAGCAAAGACTTGGAGCCAACCCAAATGCCCATCAATGATAGACTAGATAAAGAAAACGTGGCTCATAGACACCATGAATACTATGCAGCCATCAAAAAGGATGAGTTCATGTCCTTTGCAGGAACATGGATGAAGCTGGAAACCATCATTCTCAGCAAACTGACACAAGAACGGAAAACCAAACATCGCATGTTCTCACTCATAAGTGGAAGTTGAACAGTGAGAATGCAAGAATATCACACACCAGGGCATGTCAGGGGGTGGGGGGGTAGGGGAGGGATACCAGGGGGTGGGGGGATTGGGGAGGGAGAGAATTAGGAGAAATATCTAATGTAGATGATGGGTTGACGGGTGCAGCAAACCACCACAGCACGTGTATACCTATGTAACACACCTATACATTCTGCACATGTAGCCCAGAAGTTAAAGTAGAGTAAGAAAGGAAAACAAACAGAAACAAACAAGAAATAATAATAAAAAGAGTATGAGGCTTCAAGCCCATTTCACCAAGATGCCAGCGTGGTGTGCCCACAGGACATAGGAAATCATACTTGCTAAGAGCTTTGTGGCTGCATTCAGCTGGAACCCAACCCCTGTAGAAGCTGTGCCCCTTCCCCAGGGCACCGTGAGAGGGAGCCAGGGACTCTAACACAGGAGAATCTCAAGAAGACTTGGGAAATGTTTTTTCATTCCACCTGGAGGTCCTTCAAGGATACCTTCGTTTGGGGCTGGGCGCGGTGGCTCATGCCTGTAATCCCAGCAGTTTGGGAGGCCAAGGTGGGCCGATCACGAGGTCAGGAGTTCGAGACCATTCTGGCTAACACAGTGAAGCCCCATCTCTACTAAACATACAAAATTAGCCTGGCATGGTGGCACGAGCCTGTATTCCCAGCTACTCAGGAGGCTGAGGCAGGAGAACTGCTTGAACCCAGGAGGTGGAGGTTGCAGTGAGCTGAGATCACACCACTGCATTTCAGCCTGGGTGACAGAGCATCCGTCTCAAAAAAACAAATAACAAAAAAAGAGATATAGCATGGGGAGAAATGCCAGATATAGGTGATGGGGAGGAAGGCAGGAAATCACGCTGCCACGTGTGTACCTATGCAACAATCTTCCATGTTCTTCACATGTACCCCAAAACCCAAAATGCAATTTAAAAAAAGGATACTTTCATTCTATTTAGATAATTTAGAGAAATGGAAGTGACAGTGTTTGGGCGTGTCTGCCAAGTCGCTCATGGAACAAGATGTTGTATGCCAGCTATGCATGTGCCAAGAAAAGGGAAGAACCAAGCAGCAGAGCTTCAGCCGATGGCGGCACCCCAGTTACTGGCAATGACATAAAACCACAATGCTGGCCTCCTCCTGGAAGACCACATTCAGAGCATGTGAAAAAAGTGACATCTGTGTCTTGACAG